TCAAATTTATGTCTGTGTGACTCACCTTCTTCTTCTTCTTCTTCTTCATCATCATCATCATCGAAATCAAAGTTAGAATTCGATGAATAATTTACCTTTCTTTACTCGTTTTCTTTTCTTCTTAAAAGTATTTTCTTTATCCTTCTCTCATTTGATGAATTCTTTTTGTGGTTTTTGTTATTCTTCAAGGTTGATAGAGAAACAGAAAACTAGGATAGATACTAATAGAATCCATGTATTAGTTTAGTGTACAAATCACTACTAATCATATACCCTTTAATATGACATCAATTAGAACTCTGATAATAATTCATTCTATGTTAATATGTAAATATGTTTTTTTGGTTAAATAGTAAGAATGATTCATATTCTATTTCAACTATTTAAGTAGTATATATAGATATGTTGTCAGTAGGCATGTATTAGTGATGGGTATGTTTAAACGAATACATATATGTGTTTATGAGCATATGATTTCTAATTGTTGACCTCTGGAATTTATTTTGATTGTTTATTTTCCTTTAAATATATTTATTTATGAATAATAGGTGTTGATTGTTTCAAATGAATAAACAAACAAATCTCATTAATTATTAAGTGTATTATATTTAATTAGAATAAGGACTGAAATTGATCAGTCTCTTATTGGCCATATGTGCATACTAAGTGTATTGCCTCGATATAGCCTTAATTCACAAGCATTATAAGCAAAGATGAATAGTGGCTAGCAGTGGAATCCAGTTTGACGCGCGTTTCGTCCTATATCGAAGCAATACGCACAGTATGCACATATGCCAATAAAAGACTGAACAGTTGCAGTCCTAAACATCAATGGGAAGATTCAAACAAACAATACCAAGTGAATTTAAACTTCACCATATTGCACACATAAGTGGCTATCAGGAATCAGTAGCTGAGTGGATAACGTGATGACCTTTGAAGCCAAAGGTACTGGGTTCGAGTCCCAGAGTGAACATCAACTGTGAGATCTAGGTACATCCAGCTGACGAGTCCCAAACAGGACGAAACGCGCGTCCTGGATTCTACTGCTAGCCACTGTCCATTTTTGCTTATAAGAAAAGACATTGTTTGTCGAGTGAAATATGGTAGCTAGTTATACATTTTTTGATTTGAAATGAAACAGATATTATCTGTTTTTGATGGAGTTTTGTTCTCTGAGCTGGATGGTTTGGTCGTGGTGCTTTCATTGTTCTTATTAATGGCATTATCAGTACAAACTTCATGTAGAAGTCGATAAAGTTGTCTCAAGTCTAACAGTAGAATTCAAGGTGAACACTTTATCGTTTTCATGAACTGTCATCTAGATATATCTGTATCCCAGTTTGTTGATACTCATATCAGAACTAGAACTCAGTCTCTTTCTCTTCGAAGGTCAAAATGCATTATCTATTGAGTTCATGAAATCAGACAGACAGTACCGTGTGTATCGTGTACAAATTCTGTTTTCAAGAGTTTCTATTTTACCGTTGTTGATAACTGAGGATAGTGATTGATCAGTCTCGTCTGACTTATATGCATTCTAAACGGACTGCCTCGATATTACAATTTAATTACGAGTTTTTATAAAAGTTGACGAGTGATGAAGAATGGAATCCAATACTCCCGTTTTGTCCTATCTAAGACTTATCAGCTGAATGTACGTATATCCCGATGAATAATTTAAGCAATTTCTGTGAGTTAGACTAATTAGTTTTCGTCTAACATGTAGCTTTGTTCGAGCGCCATGGATCAGTTAGCAATTTGCTGATTGTTTTTCCAAATAAACCTTGGAGCATCATTTAACTTAGGTTTGCCTTACTAACAAGTGCAAACCTAGTCCTACCATTTTTCTCCAGACATTTAGTATCGGTAATTTTCTGTTAGAGATGAAATACAACAATGAGTATCAAAGGTTTTATAAAGGAAAACAATCAAAGATTAGGATATATGGTTTGAAATTACTAAGCAGTGTAAAGTATAATTATAGAAGTTTAAACCTGAAGCACTTTCGACAGAAAGGAAACAGTTTTTAAAAACTATTTAGCTTTCCATGTTTATCAAATTAATGTTAATTCATGATAAGGTTTGTTTTGAATTGTAAAAGGATATTGTACAGTCAATGTTTTAATATCACTGAAGTAATTTGAAAAAAATTCACAGAATTTTCTCTTATTTTAACTAGTTTGTATAAGATCATTCAAGTACTTACTAACGCCTTTTAGACTTCATGAAGGAAAATAGGCCTTCATTAGCATTCTCCATCCAACTTTGTCTCAAACAACCCTTTCCAGTTCTTTCCAGTCGCTATTCATTCTTTTGATGTCTGCTTTTAATTTCCGAGTCAATGTATTCTTTGGACTTCCATTTTTCCTTTTTCACTAATGATTCCAAGTTACGTCTTGCCTCATGATGCAGTTTGATTATTCCCATAATGTATGTCTTATTCTCTCCTAGCCTCTTTTACTGATTTCCTCGTCACCTGGAAGCTGAATTGTATTCTCCCACACTAGGTTGTTTCTGATGGTACCCAAGCAGTAGATATTGAGTATGTTGCGCAGACAATAGTTTATAAACACCTGTACTTTTTTGATGATGATTGTGGTGGTTCCCCATCTTTCAGCTCCTTACAGTAGAACTAAATCTCTTGATGTTCCTACTGAAGATTCTCACTTTGATGTTGGCTGACGGTTGTTTTGATTTCCATATATTCCTCAATTATAGGAATGTGACCCTTTCTTTGCCAATCCGTGCTTTCACATTTGCATTAGATCCTCCATGTTCACGGATGATGCTTCCTAGATATGTGAAAGTTCCCACCTCTTCTAGAGTATGTTCATCAAGTGCTATTGGTTTGGTACATTGTGTGTTGTATTTCAGAATCTTCCTTTCTTCGTTTTGTATGTTGAGGCCTTTATGCTGCAGACGCGTCAGCTTTGTCTATAGCTCTTCTAGGGTTACTGAAGGTCCTAATCCTGGATAAAGGAAGGTTGGGCATGGGATCAGCATTCCCATCTCGTGAAAAAACAACCTTGCTTAAAAAACACTAACCAAAATAAATAATTTGAGATCATCCAAGTGCATGATGAATAATCTCTACGAAATGCGAAATATATTATTAAACTCACTTTTCTATGTAGTTGATAAATAAAGTACTTTAAATATGTTATATTCATTTGGTGGTAGTCATAATACTTATTTGATGAACAGAGGAAATTCGTTGGTTACAATAACATTTGATCATAGGAGTTTTCAAAGCGTTACCCCAGTATATTGGGAGTACTAAATAACCAAAGCTGAAGTTAGACTCAGAGTACCAGGTAAATAAAGCTAATCATTCAATAAAGTATTGATTCTTGATTGACTGAAGTGTTCAACCACCGCGTAACTTGACACTCTGTGACAAAAGTTAAAGGCAAATTAAGAGCAGTCAAACAAAATCGTGCCATCATTTCATTAAATTGATGATCGTTGGATCGAGTTGCATCGGTAGGAGTAGACTATCTAATTGGGTTAGAGCGTTTGCTTTGACCAATAGTTGTAAATGTTGGATGACATTGTTAAGAACCAGTCATAACGACGAAGATGCATTCATTTTTCGTCATCACTCAGATCTTCAGTCTTAATTTTCTTTGATAATTTCTTTTCGCGAATTCATTCTTTTATCGAATCATATTTTCTTTGCCTAATGCTTTCCTATTACCACTGGTGCTGTTAATAAGCACACTACTCTAGTATTTATCCAGATAATTTCATCTCACTTTGCTGATACGTTTCGGACATTATAACTGACGTGTATATGTTCCTGGTTATGTGTTGTTCATGACGATATAACAAAGAACATCCATGACCCCAGCAAGTATCGAACCCATTACCCTTGATTTTCCTGCAAACGCTTAGACACTAGGTTACTGAGCCAGAATCATGTTAACTGAAATCAGTCAGCTATATTACACTATAGTGTCGGTTACTACGTTAAGCGCACATAACTTATTCTAACTTCTGGACAGGCCAATTTATTCAACCTTCTTGAGTTACGTTTTGACCTTGTTAGGTATTCACTTATCAACCTTGACAGTTTTTATGTCAGCGTATATGTGCGCACATCATATCCTACTCATCACGTGTTTATAGCTTATTTTTGTGTGACTATAAATATCGATTAAAGCTTGATTAAATCGAGTTCGCTCACATGCCTTCACTGCACATTATTTCGTTTCGCTCTCTCCTCTCCGCCTCCTTTATTTCGTCCCTCTGATTGTCTATCGAGATCAACGAGTGTACAAAATATATGTATTCAAAATGCCAATCTTATATTTGACTTATTTAATTCCATTTCTCAATAACATGGCTCAAGTCGATGATTATATACGAGGATTGGTGAATTGTATATTTGACAGCAATCATTTCAATGACAATCCGAAACGACCTGACTGTAGTCAAATCTAGGATCACTAAAACACACCAATATGATTGCCTTCAATAATTTTTTACGATCTCTTTAAACTCTCCATTATGAAAATTATTCTTCACTCATTGATTTTCAGAGGTGATTACAGGATTTCTACTGAGAGGTTATGAATAATGGTGTTTAACTGTATTGGATTCTAGTCGACTACTCATAGAAGTCAATGCAAGTTGGTTATGTAATATCATGAATTGGCTAACGTTAGACATGAAAACCATTGAACGTGGGACAAGTGGTCGTGGACGGACCGAGGATATTAAGTTCAATACTTGATGGAGTAATAAATGCGCACTCTTGAAGAAGCTTATGCATAGTTTCCAAGAGATTAAACTACAAGAAGATCAGTTCATTATACGAGCTTAGTTTCTTCCATCTTACTAAAGAATGCATATGCATATATACACACGAATACATTGAAAATTATGTGATTACAAGGTATCAAGTTCACTCATATAGTTACTGACTTTCAGTAAGAATTTCTTTGGCAATCAAACTTAAATAGTATGTAGTACCAGTCAATCTCTAAACAACTCAGTTATGATTGCATTTAGTCAAACCAAATAAATGGACTCATTTTTTGAACTATATTTATAGTAGTATACTCAGTAATTCATACAAATTCAATGGAACCTATAGAATACTGGAAACTATTTATGACTTAATCAGTTATCTCAATTGTTTTCAACTTTAAAAGATCACTAGTCATTAAAAGTATGTGTTCTTCTTCAAATTGATCTATATTAACAATTTCTTGATTGATCTTGATGATAAATATTGATTAATCGCCAGTTAAATGTTAACAGTTCAAGAATCGATATCTAATAATGTCTCTGATTGTACTCTTTTCTAACTTGTACAGTAAAAGGTCATGAACATTTCACCGAACACACCTGAATAGATTGTATAATTAATTAATTGATATAATGATCTATTGAAACAAATAAAAGAACAGATAACTTGTTGACATATCTAGATGTCAGGAATAGGTAGCTCAGATATTCAAGAAGGCCACCTACTAGTGATGAAATAATGATACTTGTAAACTGTAAGTTATATATATATGTATAAGGATGTATCATTCATTTCCAAGAAAAATGGATCCATTGAACATCGGATAGTGTCAGTTCCTTGTATTATTATTTAACTAAATGACTATGATTCAATTCATAATCTTTATCTAATTCAAAGACAACAGTTTTATCATTTAACTGTGATGATTTCATTTTAAGATTTGGTGAATTCAATTGTATTGTATTTGTTGTTTGAATTAATAATTGTGGTTGTGTACATAAATCAAATGAATTTAAATAATCTAATGTTGTTATATAACAATAACGATATTGTTCTTCAGTTTGTATCATCCATACACGTTGTTGTCTTAATAATTTTACTGTTTGATACATATCAATAACTGATTCTTGACGTAATCTTTCTAATACATTACACATTGTTATAAATAATCCTGTTCGACCAGAGCCAGAACTGAAAACAAAACAAGACAAAAACATGGAATAGAAATGAATTACAGTCAGTCAGTAAGTCAGTTACAACGTAGAACTTTGTACGTACGTACAACAGTTCGAATTGCCATACCAAATTAGCACAGAGATGCAGTTATCGATTCAAATATTTGTAATCGTTTCTGAATTCCTGATAATAATGACCACACTAGATATTCGGTTGACAGAACCTCTTAGTAAAATCTGGGAACTATGCCATAAATACTTCATTTGCAATATGTCAACCAATTGTCTCAGACTTCATTTGTACACTAATTATTCTCTGTTCTCGTTCTATTTCCTCTGATCTTCTTAACCTTCTGCCACCAGATATTTCACTTTTGATTGATGATACACAATACTTATATCTGTCGACATCAGTAGCACACACCACAGTATAACTAGTTCGCATATTTTTTAATTTCATGGTCAATGCAATTGATATACCGTCTTTCTCAGTTTGAACATCCGGATATTAGCTCTCATAAAGGATTAAGTAGTGAATTTTTATTATCATGTCATTGTAAGTGCAAACCAGAGATATTGCACTTTGCACTTTTATCACGGATGTAAATCGGAATGGTGGAATGATGGACTTCAGTAATTTAAAATTGATTGATTATTGGCTTATAATAGATGCCATCTGTTTTTAGTCCTTCAATAATAACCATAATACATCGATTAAGTTACAATGTAGCCATTATATTAAGTGACTTGACATCACGAGTAGTTGGCTGGCAGAATTAGGTCAGCACTACAAGATCAGACGGATATGAGATCAGTCCTTAATCAGTGAACAATCACTGTCCTACAACCCGAATAGCTCGATGGTAATATCCTGAACAGTAACATGAGTTAGAATATCACAGACAGAACCCATTTTTGGGTGGATTACAGCTATGTCTCGCTGATAAGTGTTTACTAACATTAAACATAGGCGTTGCTCTTTTACTACTTCCAACCGCCTAACATTTTAAAGAAGTTTAATAATTTCTGGAGTGGGACAAGGATCACTAACGATATTCATTATTATCCGTGCTAAAAATGTAAGACATTAATTTGATTAGTAGTATATTATTCATGAAATCTAAAGATTTTAGGTTCATTCTCTAGTTAGGATATCATTTATCTACTATTGAGGAGTTCAAATCTAGGTAATAACTACTATTTCATCTTTCTTGATTTTCTTTCATCCCCATTCGATTCAAATCCATAATGAAAACTTATTCAAGAGAAAATAAACGAACTCGTCTAAACAATTAATTCAATGAACTGATGTAAACTATGAATAATAATAGTAACTATTTTGGAATGATATCATGAATGAATCAATGTTGAACAATCATAGAAAACCTGAAAGCATTGGATGGCGTGCAAACTCTTAACCTCAAGACCACTGAGCTAGCATCTAATTGTATTAACTTCTAACTTCAACTCATCCACGATATTGCGTGACCCATAATAAGACCAAACGGCTTTCCAGTGCTTTCAAGTTTTCAATGGTAGTCTAACAATAATCCATTCATAATATCAATCTAAATTCAACAATCTCCATAACCTCATACTAGTACCTATTTTATTTACCTGCAATGAATAGTAATTGGTCCATCGTAATGATATTGTTCTTTAATTTTATGCACATGTCCAATTAAATCAATTAGACTTTCACCAGTATGTGGTAATCCTTGTTCATTCCAATGTATATATTGTAATTGTCTTATTGTACGTGATTCACCATCACGTGTATCAGTCAGTTTAAATTCACGTAATATATGACTAGACATTGTATATTGAGCTGTTAAATCAACTACAAAAAATTGATAACGTGATGGCTTGTCTTCTGGCCAATATGTAAAACATTTCTCCTGTATAAATATGAAAAAAACACAATATAAACTAGTTGAATATTATAAAATATGGAGGTTCTTATGGAGATTTTTAGTGATTTTTATATATAGTTGAAATCATGAGTCAATTGAAGCTAGACCACCTTGGAAAACCTGGAAGTACTAGATGGCCGTTTCGTCCTATTGTAGGACTCCTCAGCTTCGTGGATTGGTTGAAGCTAGAAATTAACACCGTTGGATGCCGGCCGGCTGAGTGGTCTAGAGGTTAAGTGTTTGTGCTCGAGACTGATAGGTCCTGGGTTCGAATCTCGTGAGGCGGGATCGTGGATGTGCACTGTTGAGGAGTCCCATAATAGGACGAAACGGCCGTCCAGTGTTTCCAGGTTTTTCATGGTGTTCTAGCTTCAATTGACTCCTGCTTTCAACTATGTGTGTATGTGTGTTTGTTTGTTTTCTTATGGTACGAAGTCTATTATTAAAATATAATGAAGAATATTAGTTAACAACACAGTAGATTTTGGTTAACCAGTCAAAGATAAACAATGTTAAATCTGATACATATCTACATACTGGTCTAATTGACCACAATACATCCACATAATGAGATGAAATTATTAAAATGAATCATAGATACGTAGGAGTGGTAAGAGTATCCATTGTAGACATAAACAACATGAATCGAAAACAAAGAATAAATTCATAGAGTAGAGTGTCAAATGATTTTAAAACTAAATATGTAAGGGAAAACAAAGAGTGAATGTATCTATGCCAATTTTCATCTTTATGTTATCTTATGTTCCCAATATTTAGACACAATAATCTCTACCAGTAATGTATGTTACTTATATCTTTCAACATAAATGGTATTTAATGTCAGTAGGAAGTGGAAAATATGGCGGCAAAAGGCTAAGAAGATCGAGTTGAAGAAACTAGAAACACAAATAGAAAAGAATTGTGAACTAGAAGAGTTGCACAAAATGTGACTGACGAGTGATGGAAGTTTTCAAACTAAGTAATCAGTGTATGGTTTTTATATTTCATCAAGAGATTCTCTAATTTTGTATTGAACAATAGATCAGTTGTCCCCGCGTATGTCATCGTTCATTACATACCTACCAACACAATATAATCCAATACTGAGTGACTTCATGATTTGAACTGCTCTTCGATTGGCTTTCTTTAAATTCATCAAAGAAGTTTTTTAATTTCAAACCACTGTATCTGTTTCTATTTGGGTGATTATCTTCTGTAATTTTCATGATATCTTTATGAAAGTGACTAGAATTTGAACTATCATATATGAAACTCGTCAGTTTGAAGTACTTTTATCTTAATCAGTATTGTTGCTGTCATCAGGACTCGAATTTAGTATTTTATAATCTTAAATACCAAACATTTACCCATCAACTTGATAAGTCAAGATTATCATCATTAGTTTAAAGAATATTAGGCTTCTTTCCAACCATAACTTTTTCAACATCACAGTGTAGTAAAAAAAATAAATACCGACGCTTCAAGTAATTTGAAGCGAATTCTAAATAAAGATTCCTTGTTCACTTTGCATTGTTTGCTTGTATCTTCCCAATGTTGTTTAGGACTTCAGTTGATCAGTCTTACATTGATATATGTGCATCCCGTGGGGAGTACCTCAATATTGCCTAACGTCACGAGCTTTATAAGCAAAGATGGATAGTGGCTAGCAGTGGAATACAGGACCCACATTTCGTTCTATTTGAGTTTCATCAGCTGGACGTACCTGCATCCGAATTGATGTTCATTCCGGGACTGAAACCCAGTAAAATTAGCTTGGGTTATTAGGTGAAGCTAGTGACTATCAAGACTCAGTAATTAAGTATATAACGTGATTGCGTTTTAAAGCGAGCGTTACAGAGTTCGAGTCCCAGAGTGAACATTGACTCTGGGATGTAAGTACATCCAGCTGATGAGTCCCAAATAAGACGAAACGCGCGTCCTAGATTCCACTGCCAGCCAATATCCATCTTTGTTTAAAAAGTCTTTGTATTAATTACTATTGGTTGCAATAATGTATGAAGTAATAAGGGATAGAGCAAAATATTCTTTTGATATAAAATTATTATGTCTTTAGACATGCCAAAAAAATTAACACTTTGAATGTTTCAGTAAAAATGTCAAACATTGTGTTCATATGTTAAGAATGTATAATATTAGATACCAACTTCAAAGTTTAAAGTTTAACCACTCAGTGAGAGATCTAATTGCCCTGGGCTTGATTCCCAATGAGGTCGTGTGTGCACACAAGTAAGGAGTCCCATACTAGGATGTCATAACTGTCCAGTGCATTCTGGTTTTCAGCAGTTATTTGGTTAAAGTTAGTTTGTAAAGTAAGCTATAAAAATCTCTTATGCTTGTCAAAGTATCCCAGAATTCAAATGTTAGCACTTATCCGTGATAATTTAAGTTGATTTGTACCATTGTATAAGCATGCATATATAAATATATATACATATGTATTCTTACTTTTCCACTCTCCTTCACTGAGCATAACATAACTATTAGACAGCTGTGCTTCTCCCAAACCATACGCCAAAAATCTTCTACAGTGGATATCATTGGTCCTTGACAAGCAATATATGCATTTTTCTTCAAATAACCATCAATGAAACTGGCATTGATATAATCTGATCCATCGACACCACGTATTGAACATAGAGTAACACGATTCCAATCAAATGGAACTATACTGACTAGTCGATTTTTACTAAGATTAACCTGTAATAGAAATTTTCGTGGGGTAAAATGATAGAAGGTTAATGAATACATGTTTTGAAGTGTACGCTCATAGAGTTAATACACATTAAGTGCTTAGTAACTGCCTAATTTTGTGTTTACGAATAGATCATCAGTAACGTTGTTTATAAATTTACTGGTCGCTAACTAGCAACCATTGTCTTGTTCGTTTGGCCCTCAGTACTGATCCTATTCTATCAATCAATATGAAATTCGACTAGCAATTTCAGTGATTCAAAAATGTGCGGATTGTTATGTGGCATTATGTGATTAGAGTTTGTCAGCAGGAAATTCTGAAGCTACATTTCCTATTATAAGGCAATCGTCAGTAAGGTGTCTCTAATATCCTCACGCAACTGACCCCGCATTTATAGGATTCTAATAAGTGTTGCTTATTTCCATAGTCCATGAAATGTCAGTCAATTGTCTCACACTTCATTGTTCTTTCGTTTCCACAACAAAACTTTCTTGTTTTTGTTCTCTTTCATCGATTTTCTTAACTTTCTGCCTTCAGGCATTACACTTGTGTTTGGTGATACATACTGCTTATATTTGCTGACATCCGTAGCACACATCACACAGTAATTTTTATTGATAATATTATCGTGCGTTTTATGACTCAATTATTATAAATTCTTTTTCCTAACAACTTTTTACGAAAAATCACTAAAGTGTTAAATATAGTAACTAAGCACAATTGCACAAATCGAAGTCATTAAAAAGAGTTAAGAACAGATAAATCAACTGTCATAATGGGGATTTGTAGAGATTGTAGTAATTTTAACAGTTGAATTCATGGATCGATCTAAGCTCGACCACCATTCAAAGGTTGCGCAAAATCACGGATCGATTGACGTTAGATATTAACATCGTTAGATGCTGGTTCAGTGGTCTAGAGGTTAAGCATTCGCGTGTGAAACCAAAGATCATGGGTTCCAGTCCCGTATGCTGTATCGTGGATGAGCACTGCTTAGGAGTCTCATACTAGTACGAAATAATCGTCCAATGCTTCCAGGTTTTCATTGATGATCTAGCTTACATCGACTCATGGATTCAACTGTTTAAAAAGACAATTCAATTGCTAAAGTGTGGAATGTTTTAACTGTTATTCATAGTTACATAGTTTTCTTTGGAATTGTACATCATTTTAGAATGTTTAGAAAAGTGAGAAATCTAGCATGTTTGACGATTTCCTGGTTTATTTAGTGGGTAAGTATTACATATAATAACTCATATTTTATTGAGGTTTTCATTTCAGTCATCTGAATCAATCTACATACTCCTTCTATGAGCACGCTATCATAAAGCACCTCAACTTACCGGGTGAAAGAAACTAATAATGTGAAATTCAGAGCTTGAAATGAAATCCTCAGTCTAAAAAAATGATGCTCTTACATACAGTACTCACCTAATAAATGAATGAAGAAGTGTCCGAAAATGCTTTATACCACACATATATTAAATATTGAGGAACGGATGAGCTGTAAATTCATGAATACTTATCCTATCGTTATTAGTGTATTAAGGTTAAGAAGGAGTTTTATGGAGATTTAGTATTTTCATAGTTGCTAGCGTGAGTCGATTGAAGCTAGACCACCATCGAAAACCTGGAAACACTGTTTGACGGCCGTTTCGTCCTATTGTGAGACTCCTCAGCAGTGCACATCCACGACCTCACCTATCGAGATTCGAAACCCAAAACCTACCAGTCTCGCGCTAGATCACTTAACCGATAGACCACTGAGCCGGCATCCCATGGTGTTTATGTCTAACTCCAACGAATCCACGACGTTGAGCGACCGTTCACCAATTGTCTTCAGTGACTTCCCATCTCACACCAGACGTGATTTGAACTCTACTGGTCACTGCTTCTCACTAGAACTCCAGGATTTACCTCTCGAAGTCAGTCACTAGCGAGCATATTATTATTATTAGAAGGGGTTTTGTGGAGCTTTAGTATTTTCATAGTTGCAAGCGTGAGTCAATCTCGTGAGGCGAGGTCGTGGATGCGCACTGCTGAGGAGTCCCAAAATAGGACGAAACGGCCGTCCAGTGCTTCCAGGTTTTCCTTGGTAATCTAGATTTAATTGACTCACGCTTGCGACTATTAAAGTTAAATTTCTCTTCGTAACAATGTTCTTTTTCAAGCATCACTATCTTGATAAGTTTCAAAACGTCGAGTTTTCTTACACAAAATGACTACCTAATGTCTGGTGAACTTACCTTACTCCTTGTCTGAGTGACCTATTCACCTTTTTGTTGTTAGATATTGTTTAACATGATTGATAATACTTCTACGATGTCTGAAATTTCCACACTAATTTTAACATTAACATTTTATTCAGTAACTTTTACTATATCATTGTATTACTGTTTCTCATATTGTATCTGAAAGGATTAGGGGTGATTTTCCTGTAGTCCTTTATCGTTGTTGTCATGGTATGGGTATGAACTTTATCATTTTATGTAAGTACTTAGGTCAAATAGTATTTTTATGAAAGGGATTCTGTATAAGTCTGTTTAATTTGTAAATAGTATTTGTTACAAATGAATTTCACTTGTAATATTAATGAAGATCAATGGTGAAGTGTATTTTATCATAGAATATGCAGGATTTCACATTACTGTTAATTTACAACCTTGAACGCGGTTTAACCCACTGGTCTGATGATTAATAGACATGGACAAGACCTGAAGGTAATGACTTCTGTCCTTGAGAGGATTTGGAATGAGTACTTATAAAGAGTCTCGTATTATGACAAAACAGTTAGGTATCGCTCTTCAGCTTCTAATGATAACTTAAATAAAGTCGATCCACGACGTCGGTCCAACTACATATAAAACAGTATGTTCAGTTTTATAATGTATCATCTCATTATCAGTTGCTAGTTATGTATTAAAGGTGTGAAATATACATTCAGTAATAGTACATGAGTAAATAATTGTTAGATTCACCTTCATAATGTTTAAAAAGAATGCCTATTGCACAATTGGCACATAAAAACAATGAGTAAAGCCTATATCAGAGGTTGTATGTTGACAGATTTAATTTCGTTGTGTCTGGAAATATGTTTGCAAACTAGAAAAAATGAGTAGGAACAGTAGCGTAATGTTTTATTTATAAGATACTATTTAGGTTAAAAGGTAATTTTCGATCTTCATTTAGTTTAAACTAATTAATATCAAATCATATTGTGGGTGATAAATAGTAATTAAACAACAGATTTGTGTTTCGTCCCAACCGCGACTCATCAACCCTGCTCCCTTCATGTTTTTAATTTGAACCTATTATCTGTTGTCTAAAACAAAGATAAATGATTTCAACTAATCAGGACTTCTAATGATTGGTGCAAAGATTAAGTACTCCAAAGAGATTCAGGCATATTGCTACTAATTCCTTAGTTTGAGCCGATTGTATAGTTCTAAATCTTTGTAACATACACGATTAAAGCGTAAGTGTGCTCTTAAATATTGTACTTTTTAGATGCACAAATAGATAGGAATAGTTTAATGTGATTTTAGTAGCACTGGAATAGACATTAGTAGTATAGTATAAGATCTATTAAGGTTCTCAGAAAATATCAAGCTGATAAATGTTCGTCTGTATGAAACGACAACTCAAATGTATTTTTAGCACAGATGTTTGTAAATGTAAGAATTAGTGACATTGAAAATGGAATGGACAACTGTTTTGTCCTAGTTTAGAAATAATCTGAAGTAAGCATTCACAATTCCATACACTTCTAATGGGGATCATATCTTTAGAGCACTTTTTAAGAACCGACCCTAATGGATTTATGATATATTGCGATGATCACCTTATTTATGTTAACTTGTCAGTATGATTAGTTCTGTAAGCTATACTATATTATTGGAGACATTTTTAGTACACCACATAGTGCATAGGCCAAACGCTAGGAATAATTAAGTAACCCTGTCTTGAACTCTTCTTTCCGGGTGTTGTGAAGTCATTTTCATCATTTTAACGTCTGTCTTCAATTCTCAGCAAAATATGTTCTTCGGTCTGTTTTTTTTCTTTTGCCTTGAACATTCCAAGTTATGGCTTGTTTGAGATGCAGTTTAGTAATTTACGCGAAGTATGTCCTGTTCACTTCCAATATTTTTTCCAGGTTAACTATTTAGCTATCAGCTGATTTGTTCTCCGACAAAGTAAGTTATTGATGATGGCCTCTGTAAAACATATATGAAACATCTTGCATGGGCAGCTGTTTACAAATACATGTACTCTTTTATTATAATGATAATGATAGTTCTCCAAGTTTTTAATCATTACAACAGAATTATTCTCAAGTTAGAATTAAATATTCTGATTTTGGTCTTGAATGGTAGTTCTTTTAAACGATTCGAACTTCCAGATATATTAATCTAGAAATTATTCAGTCGCTAACACACACACACTATTTAGTATGTAATTAAGTAAATTGAAGAAAATGTGTTCAGTTTGAAGTAAATCACTAGAGAACTATAGGAATTGAAATGATTATCCAGGTATAGTTTAATAATATTTCAAATTAAGATCATATGTATTTATAAGCAAAGATGGATAGTGACTAGTAGTGGAATACAGGACGCACGTTTCGTCCTATTCGGGACTTGTCAGCTGGATATACCTGCATCTCAGAGTTGATGTTCACTCTGGGACTCGAATCCAGTACCTTTCACTTCAGACGCAATCGCGTTACCCACTCAGTTACTGAGTCCTGATAGCCACTTGCTTGTGAAATTGGGTAAAGTTTAAATTCACTTAGTATTGTTTTGTTTGGTTGAAGTTAGACATTAACACCACTGAATTCCGTCTCAATGATCTAGAGGTTAAGTGTTCTCTCGTGAGAACGATAAGCCTTGGCTTCGAACCTCGCTGACGGAATCGTGGGGTTAGGTGTCCAATGCTAGGATAAATCGTCCGTCCAATACTCCCAGGTTTTCCATGATAGTCCAGCATGAATTAACTCATAAGTTCAACTATTTATTATGTAGATATATTTATCAGTTGGAATTCATTTCATTCAATATTCATTTTGGATTTGGATTTGATCATTAACTAAATAGTTTAATTAAAATCCTTTATGAATCCAATGACTTAAATGAATTCAATTGTCTAGATTATTATTGACTCATGATTTTCTATGTTTATAGACTGTTTAAGTTTAAAAGTTCAATTTATTGTCTGAAAAGAAATCAGATATATAAAGTTATGGGATTATAAGTAAGAGAAATCATTGTTACTAAGGTAAAATGTATATAGTTATGGACTTATCATTATCAGTACATAGATATCTAACTTTTTCTTTATTTATTTATACTGACCTTTTTTTAAAACTTCACTCGTTATTAAGATCACTTGGTGTTGTTTACTTGTATCTTCCCATCGTTATTTGGAACTGCAATTAATCAGTCTCTTGTTGGTATATGTGCATCCTGTGAAGACTACCTGGATAGTGCCTGAAGTCACAAGCTTTATGAGCAAAAATGGATAATGACTAGCATGGGAATCCAGGACGCGCTTTTCGTCCTAAATAACAATGGGAAGATACAGGTAAACAACACAAGGTGAATTTAAACTTAACCTCATTGCACAAGCAAGTGACTATCAGGACTCAGTGGCTAAGTGCATAACGTGATGGCGTTTGAAGAGAGGGTACTGGGTTCGAGTCCCAGAGTGAACATTGACTCTGAGATGCAGGTACATCCAACTGACGAGTCCCAAATAGGATGAAACGCGCGTCCTGGATCCGACTACTAGCCACTATCCATCTCTGCTTACCATGCTTGTGAATTAAGGCTATATCGAGGCAATATGCACAGTATGCACATATGCCAATTAGAGACTGACCAGCTGCAGTTCTAACACATCGATGGGAAGATTCAAACAAATAATACTAAATGAATTTATTATTTCAATGGTCTAGAGATTACGAGTGCACTGTAGGAACTAAAGGTCTTGGGTTTGAACTTTGGTGTAGACATCAATGCTCACTGTTAAAGAATCCCGTACTAAAAGGACACAGATATCCAGTGTGTGTTTTTTTATAGTTTTACTGGTTGTTTAATTCTGACCAGTTCATGATGTAACCTATCAGTGATCTCCATAAACCGTGATATACTAGTAAAAATAATAATTTACTGAACTCTTGAAAGTCATTTAAATTAATAATAATACTGAAGATAGTATACACAATTTAGAATAGATAAACATTTATCTAATAGTTGAATTCATGTGTCAATTAAAGCTAGACCACCATAGAAAATCTGGAAGCACTGAACGACTGTTTCGTCCTAGTATAGGACTCCTCTTTATGTATTCAAGTATTATATTACTACAATCTCTACAAAGCCCTTTTATGATAATAAACATTAGTCTTGTCATAGTTAAGATCATGAGTCAATGGAAGTTACACTACTATGGGAAACCTGGAAGCACTGGACGGCCGTTTCGTCCTATTGTGTGGTTCCTCAGCAGTGCGCATCCACGATTCCGCCCCACGAGATTCCAACCCAGGACCCATAAGTCTCGCGCACGAGCGCTTAACCTCTACAACACTGAGTCGGATGGCATCCAACGGTGTTAATGTTGAGCTTCAAAGAATCCACGAAATTGAGCGACACATCCACATTCTGATATTATTCAACATATGTTCACTAGTGACTGGCTTCAAGAGGTATCTCCTGAAGTTGCAGTGAGAAGCACTGACCAGTGGAGTTCAACCAGGTCTGTTGTGAGATAGTAACTTACTGAAAATAATGATGGATGTGTTGCTCAGTTTCGTGGATCGGTTGAGGTCGGAAATTAACACCTTTGGATGCCGGCCGGCTCAGTGTTGTAGAGGTCAAGCGTTCGTGCGCGAGACTGATGGGTCCTGAGTTGGAATCTCGCGAGGCGAGATCGTGGATGCGCACTGCTGAGGAATCCCACAATAGGACAAAGCGGCCGTCCAATGCTTCCAGGTTTTTCATGGTGGTCTAGCTTCAATTAATTCATAATCTCAACTATTGAAATTAATTAAATACTACAGTATATGAATTTTTGAGTTTTGCACTTAATATATACTAGTCTTAGACTTTCTGAGTGTAATTATCTGTATTGTCATTGAATTAGTTGTGACAAATTATCAGAGTTAATGAATCACAGTCAAAAAGTACAACTCTAATTTCATTTAATAAACCATATACCACAATAATTATCCACTGATTTCGATGGAATCTGTTCCATTGCTAATATAACGGAAATTCTTTCATGATAACTTCTTATACTAAAACAAAGTATCTGTCTACTGCTCCCTGATATTCAATTCTACCTTCGTTCGGGTCAACCTCTAATTATTATAACTTAGAAATTAAAGAAAAAAACAACCAATCTTCACAAAACATTAACTAATATCATTCAAACTTACACTTCGTTTAGCTACATCACATGATACACTTAATTTGTAACCATGTATAGGACTTCCTGGTGGTGTATTATTAACAAAACCAGTTTTTGATTGACTACTATTCAATGTTAAAGTTATATTAGGTGATAATTTATTAATTTTACGAAATTCAATCTGAAAACCAGTTAAACCTAATGAATTCGTTGTCGTTGTATTGTTAGATAGATCGTTTAAAGTATTAGTTGATATCGTTGTTGGTGTTATAGTTGTTGATAATAATGAATTATTGAAATTACTCATATAATCATTTGTACTACTTATAGTAGTATTAGTAGTTTGTAATATAGATAAATGTTGTATATGTGTATATAGATTACGTGCAGATACTTCTGTATTACCATCTGTAATTGATTCAAGTAATGCTGTATATATAAATTGATATTGTTCCTGGGTTTCAATCATATAATTACGTTGTAAACGTAATTGATTCACTAGACCAAATATATCAATTAGTGATTCATTTTTCATACGTTCCAGTAATATATTAATTGCTATATAAACACCTAAATAAATAAACAATAAGGATATGATGTGAAAGAACATTTTCATTTCATAAATAACATACTATTAATACAACATAGGTTTTATGAAGATAGTTGAATTTCATAGTCAACATCATGGACTAATCTTAGACAAATACTGAAGAAGAAGAAGAAGAATAGACAATGTACAGATTATGGGACTCCTCAGCAGTGCGCATCCACGGCCCCGCACTCGCGAGATTCAAATCCAGGACCTAGCAGTCTCGAGCCAGGGGTCGTGAATGCGCACTGCTGAGGAGTCCCATAATAGAACGAAACGGCCGTCCAGTGCTTCCAGGTTTTACATGGTGGTCTAGCTTCAATTGACTCATGATTTCAACTTTGAAAAATACTGAAATCTTCACAAATCCCCTTCTAATGTACAGATATTTCGTCCCTGTATGATACCATTTACAAGTGAGAATCCAAGCCTATACAAGGAGTAGAATCCATTGAAGTCATTGAATTCAGGTTCAGTGACCTAAAGGTTAAGATTTGACTGATGACGCTAAAGGTATTGAACTCAGTCGTCGTGCGTTGAGGAAGAGTCAAATTTAAGGATGAAAACTGCGTTTTAATGCTTCCTAACTTTCAATAGTTGTTTGACAGAGATTTGTCTGTAAATTAAACTATGAAAGTCTTTGAATACAATTGTAAAAAAAGGAATACATTTAATTTATTGTTTTGAAGTGATCTTTTGGATACTTCTAATAAATTACCTAATGTTCATGAAACCTCAAAAAGCTGTGGAGTCAAAAAAATTCAATATTTAACAATGATGTATCATTTTATTGGGTTGAGATCATGAGTTAATTGAAGTTAGACCACCATGGAAAACCTGGAAAAACTGGATGGCCGTTTCGTCCTATTATGGGACTCCTCAGCAGTGCGCATCCACGATCACGCTAGCGGGAGTCGAACCCAGGACTAATATTTCAACAAAACCCCTTCTGATAATGTTGTATCCGTAAATACGGTTAACGTTTAAACGACGCTAAATATTGACTGAAGTCTGCAATGTTAAGTGTTGAATCATGACTTGGTAATAAATAGTTTTCTATGCTTTTCTCTGGACATTGAGCATACAATGATATGAAACTTCAAACTAGAACAGCATAGTAAACTAATTGTTTCTGGCTTTCAATAACTCTTCATTGAATGTCGGTTAGTAATGAAAACAATAATCACAGAGCTTAACATTGAATAATTTACATAAGAAATGACTTTGATAACAAATAGAAAACTACATATAAAGGGACGTTTTATACTTTCAAATAAAAAGTTATCCACTTGGACCATTTAGATTACCAAGTAACTAATTATGAGTAGTACATACAAGATGTTTCCCTACTAAGACCTTCAGATTTATATAAATATGTTAGAATTTACTGTTCCGGATATCTATGTTTGTATATTTCGAAATTTATTCGGCATTGAATAGTGACTAAAATCATAGCCCGAGTAACTGAGTGGTAAAATCACTCACTGAGACACTAAGTGACGCATGTTTGAATCTCAAAGAGAATGAAAGTACTTTACACAGTTCAAAATACTTCATATTGGTGTATGCTAACTAAGAGGAAGGAGCACTCCATGCCATTTAAAATAATGTGTGTACTAATCTTGTAGTATAAATTGACTTCAGTACGCAATTATATTGAATAATTTTTCATCACTTAAAAAATATGGAACACATTTACCACGATAGCTGCCATAAATACGAAAACTGAATTGTAAATACTAGCCTCTAAAGATTACTTTAGTTCAGACATTATACTAGCAGTTTAAATTTGTAAAGTCCAAATGCAGTAGAACCTGTACATTCCATTGTAGTGAACAAAAAACCGGTTGAAGACAATTGAATATATTTCAGATTACAGATTACAGATTATCTCAGTGAATTCTGTTAACCATACAGCAAACAGTTAATTTGCCAAATAACAATCAATTGTCTCAATCATCACTGTTCCTTCTATAAATATCAATCCATCTTCTCTAATTCCATTGTTCTTTCATTTTTCTACCAATTGCACTTCATTCCAATTCTTTCCTTATCAATCTTCTTCCGAAATACATTCTATATCTGACCATCGTCATATACTACTTATATGGATATAAGTAGACCGCATTATACCATTACTGTGTGTCTGGTTATTATTATGTTTATAAACCATATTGTGTAGTGTTTCAATTACCTATCGTAAATATGATCAAACTTCTTTTGAATGTACTCTATGAAGTTGATACATCTACTCATTCATTCAAATTATACATATCACTTATATAGATGGAATGTAATTATGTAATGGAATGATAAAATTTACTTTTCTTAATTATATTAATCAAGCAAAATACAAATTAATCTTATCCATTTATAGATGGAAACATTTTGGTTAAAAGCAACAACAACAACAACAACGAAAAAAAAGTACTCGATGGAACCAATTTTTTCTACTGAATGTGTGCAGGAAACAATTAGGCGTTTATAAATATAAATGAGCCTATATTTATATATAGTGGCTAAAAATTTCATTTTCGTTTGTACGACCGCCTACAAACACTTGTTAGTAGTATGTTTTATTATTATTATCTTAATGAAGGTGGATAACCATGTAACAAATGAAATTACGTAATCATTCAATCTCGAAAAAAATTAAATAATTCATTTTGGATTAATTTAAAGCCATGAATTAATCACGCAATTATTATTATTTAATCCTAATTTGTAATTATTATAAACAAACATCAAAACATATAGGGAATAAATTTTTCTGAAAAAAATTTTTTTACCAGTAAGCAAAGATGGATAGTGACTAGTAGTGGTATTTGCACGTCCAAGACGCCATGACCCCTCTCGTCTGGCTCTCGCAAAGAATGAGTTCAACAAAATGATAGAGTTGGGTATCATACACCCCTCCAATAGTCTATGGGTATCACCGCTACATATGGTATCTAAGAAAAACTCTTCTGAGGTTAGACCTTGTGGCGATTATAGAGCTCTTTACAGCAGGACTATACCAGATAGATATCCGCTTACACACTTACATGACTTTACTCACAGTCTATCTGATACAAAGTTTTTTTCAAAGGTTGACCTCGTCCGTGCCTACCATCACATCCAATTCACCCGGATGATGTTCCTAAAACAACCATCACTACCCCATTTGGGCTATACGAATTCGTTCGCATGCCTTTTGGATTGAAGAATGCTGCACAGAGTTTCCAACGTTTTATTGACCAAGTCATACGTGGCTTACCGTTTGTATATGTCTACATAGATGACTTAACTATCCCCAGCAAAGACGAAAACGAACATTTAGATGCTTTTAGCTAAACTAGTATGGGTTAACAGTCAATCTCGACAAGTGCGAGTTTAGAAAGCAATCCCTCACCATTTTAGGCCACTTATTCGACAATGAAGGTATTAGACCGGTTCCTGAGGAAACACAAATCATTAAAAATTACCCCTTACCTGATTCCTTCAAGAAACTACGACGCTTCCTTGGAATGATCAACTTTTATCGACTTTTTATTCCGAAATGTGCTGACATAGAGAAACCGCTAACGGATTTATTAAGGGGACGCGCCAAATCACTAATGATGGCACCGCAAGCAATTCAAGCTTTCAAGCAGTTGAAAAACGCAATTAGCACTGAAGCACTGGTCCCACGGAAGGTTAACGCACCCTTAGCAGTAATGACCGACGCCTCTAATGTAGCGGTAGGTGCTGTACTTCAACAATGCGTCAATCAACAATGGCAACCCCTATCATTTTTCTCAAAAAAGCTAAATGCGACGTAAACAAAATATAGCACGTTCAGTAGAGAACTGTTGGCCGTCTATTTAGCAATCAAACACTTCCGGCATATGTTAGAAGGCAATTCTTTTACAATATTTACTGATCACAAGCCGCTAACTAAATCCTTGATGCAAAACCATGATAAATACAGTCCACGCGAAATTCGTCAACAAGAATTCATTTCGCAATTTGTAGCTGACATACGCTATATAAAAGGCATGGAAATCGATGCAACAGATGCATATATAAAGCTCTTTAAGAGATGCTTTGATGTTGTTTGTATATATACATTAACAGTTATGATAAGAACTCTATAATGTAACAATTCCATATTAACAATTGTTAGGTTGGACATTAGGTACATCTTGGTTTTGATAGGTTTGTGTTATGAAGAATATAAGTTTTCAAAAAGTGTTTCAATGGTTTTCGATGAGATAACCATAAATATTGATTTTATATATATTTGTGAGTCGGAATTACAAACGTATTATATAATTCACTTGGTATTGTTTGTTTGAATCTTCTCATTGATGTTTACGACTGCATTTGTTCAGTCTCTTATTGGGCATATGTGCATACTGTGCGCCTTGTAATACTAATTGAACTTACACTTCACCCCATCGTACGGATAACGTGATGACGTTTGAAGCGAACGGTACTAAGTCCGAGTCCCAGAGTGAACATCAACTCTGAGATGCAGGTACATCCAGTTGACGAGTCCAAAATAGGATGAAATGAGCGTTTTGGATTCCACTGCTAGCCAATATCTATCTTTCCTTATGTTATATAATGTTAGAAAAATGTTTTTCAATAATTAAGAAAGACAATTTCAATGATTGTGAGCAATTTAAATAAGCCGTTTGTGATTGGAGGTGGGATTCAGGATGTTCGGTAAATCGTATCGCAGATTCGTTAGCTGAATGTAGTTTTGATATTTACATTGGGACTTGAACTTAGTAATTTTAACTTCAAGAACCTAATGCTTTTATTTATTGCTCTATGGAACCCATATAATCATTAATCTGTTCGACGGAATGTACAGGATGCATGTACGTTAAAGAAGACTGATCAAGATTCAGCTTCGTCTTTCAACAATAGAGTAGCTCAAATGCCTACTAATAAAGATTGGTGAAAATCTTAAAACATGGAGTATCAATGAAACCAGACGAAATTTCCAGCCAAAAAAATGGCAAATGAAATTGAGTCGTTAAAGTAATAATATTAAAAAATCAACTTATCCACATGTACATGATACGACTAAAACATTTTTTTTCTTTAAAGAAATTTTTGTCTTTGTCTTAGTATTGAATAGAAATCTGTCTGTATCACCGTTAATGGAGACCATAATTTACTAGAAACATTTACCTTGAGACTAAGCGAGTAGAGGTTGGATCACACATGGAGCATCAATCCCATCAAAATTGTGAACACGCCATAGTGATAACTTTTTAGTAGTACAAGATATAGACTAGGTGCAGCTTCATGTCGATTATCCGCGGTTAGTTAATACATTATGAAATCATAATGTATTGTATCGAACTTACATGCAAATAAAGTGACATCAGAATCTATCTACCATCAAACTATCGATGCTACTTGAAAAGTAATTTACTGTAACATACTGAACACTTCATCAAAAAAATAATGTTATACCTTGATTCTTCATTTTCTTCTAAAGTTCTTGAGTTAAACATCTTTCATAATAAAATCCGTTATTAAGTTAACAAAGTTTGAATGAAAAACAAGGGAAATTGCTGGATCTTATCAGTCAATCAGTAAATCAGTTACTCATCGGGACTTATAATTCATGAACCAATTAGTTATATTTAGATTAGAGACAGTTGAATTTACTACCTCCAACTCTAGTTCCCAATTCCTCATTCTAATTTCTAACAGCAATTTGACAATATTAAGTAGTTGAAGTTTGTCAGTCATCACTTTAGTACCAATCCCAGCTCATCTTTAAATTATCGTCTTGTCGAAGTGTTCGTTTCTATTGTTTTTTTTAAATAGATTATGATCTTTATTATTATGAACATCATCGTTTTCAGTATATCAGTAGTATAAAGCTAACCAATCTTACCTGTTCTACCAGTTCCTGATGAACAATGTACAACAATTGGACCACAATCGTTTGGTGTAATTGTACCAACACGTCGAAGAAACATTAAGAATACAGTAGGATAAGTTGGCACTTCTTGATCTGGCCAACTTGTATATTGTAAATGCCAAATTTTTCTATGTTCCCTGATAAAAACAAAAATCAAATGAAATAAAGAGAAGCGATTAAGAAAACAGATTTTATTATAGTTATAAAGCATTAGTATTAACAAATATTGTGTAGGACGAAACGGCCGTCCAGTGCTTCCAGGTTTTCCATGATGGTCTAGCGTTAATAGACTCATCATTTCAACTGTGAAGATTTCATTGATACTCAATAATCACCACAACCCCATACTGATATTCGTTTATAAATCAATAATCAATTAGTATGTTCACTTAACTTTCATACAGTCATTTGGAAGTAAACATTACCAAGAACCAGTCTACTTCTATGTACCTAATAAGTTCGTGCTGCAAGAAGCATAAAATGTGTAATTTCATAATCCGAACTTACACAAAATTAACACTGATCAGACTAAATGAAGTCTATCATATTTATTCGTAATGGGTGGTTGAATGTATTCGACAAAAATACTCTTAGTGATCTAGGTCTATTGATATTTTAGTACACGTAAGGAAGACTTGCCTGTGATTTTGGGGGAAAATGGTCCTCCTTGTGAAATTCTAACCCATATCATTCCGTTTCAAAATCCAAGACGTTAAAATTGAGCTGTTCCAGCCTCCACTGACATTCTATTAGACAGTTATATTTGCAGTCATTTAATCATTTAGTAGTTGATCTTCGGCTTAGTGATTATAGCCCTCTTAATGTCTAATTTAGTTCACAAAACATCAATAGATGAATTTCGTAATTGTATCTTACAACAATGAAAAAAATTATATCAATGTTGTATGACCGGTATAGAAGTAGAAGTGTTCTTAGTTATTATAAATAATAACCATACAACTAAAATTTCTCTTAAGGCAAAAATACCAGCCTGTCACATTAGAACAATCAATTTTATGAAAGAAGCATTACAATTTCTGCTTGAAAGTCAGTTAGTAATAGTGTGGTGTTATCTACTTATATCCTTATAAGTAGTTTATGGCGATGGTCAGACATAGAATGTATTTTGGCAGAAGATCGATAAGGAAAGAACATGAACGAAGCGCAATCAGTATGAAAATGCATGCACAATAATAATTGGAGACGATGGACTGATATTTACAGAAGGAACAGTCAAGAATGTGACAATTGATTGTTATTTTGCAAATTAACTGTTTACTACTGTATGATTATCAGATCTTAGTAAGATAGTTTGTAATTTGTGCTTCACTACATTCGATTGTTCCCACTCATGTTCTTGTTCACTACAATACCAATTATAAATTAGAAACTTATACTTTTTTCTGTAAAAACGATATCCTATTTTTTATAAAGTATTAATCATGAAAATAATGCCTGATCGTTAAACGATCACTCAGCACTGACTAAAGTTATGTTTGTCTAAGTCTTTACCGCTGATCACATTTTCTATTTAAATGAGTTCAAATTGCATAAGTAGCATCAATTGTTTCAAGATTACAGGTACACTTTGTTGATAAGTACTGAGTAGTAAGAAGCCTAGATCAATTATAGTCTTATGTTAACTTTCTTCCACCAACAAACATTTAAACATAGTGCAAGTGATATTGAGTCACTCATACTAGTAACCAAACCATATGCTAATCGATAAGATTCAACCTTCATTATTAGGACTAGACAAATACAAGTCTGTACTTAGTGACCAATCAATTGTAAAAAAATATCACAGTTTTACAACAGGTCATTGGTGCCCTAAGTTGCTCAGTGTTATCGTTTTAAACCGTGATGTTGGGTGATACAGGTTTAAAGCTTACAGAGAACATTAGTTCTCTCAAGTTTGTAGGTATAGTTTGTTGACAACTAGCACGTTGCCGAAATCAAGTGGTATTTCCTAATGACTACCTCCAGACATTCAACATTGTATATTCAGATTAATTTATAAAATTGTTTTCATCTATTAGATGAATGTTTTGTATTATAATAACTTTTTGTATATTGGTATGAAGTCAATGTGGAGAAGATTCGTAGCTCAGGTGGATGATTTTGATGGAGTTTTGTTCTTTGAGCTGGATGGTCGGGTCATGAAGCTTTCATTGTCCTTCTGAAAGACATCATCAGCCCAAACTTCGCATAGAAGTGAAGCCAATATATTTATTTTCATATTCATTCTTACTATTTTTGAACCTCAAATAATAAATATACCAAATGATCAATGATGAGGTGAAAGTATATTTTATTTGACAACCATCAGTAACTTGTAAAATAAATAGGCAATGCATTATCTCCTGAGCTAGATAGTTGCTGAATTGTATAATTACGTTTAATACTTAAAAATATCTGACAATATCAAAGCAGTTCACTTAGGAAGCACATGTTTTAAAAGTTGATTGATCAATTGGTAGTCTTTAGTGTCAACCAGAATATATAAACGCTTTCCCAATAATCCAAGAGGTGCTATCTTGAATTTGATTAGTTTGTCAGTAAAATGTGGTATATACTACTGATGTCAACTGATCTTGAAGCTAGATCACCAGGGAAGGTTGGAGTTAGACATAAACACCATCCGATGCCGGCCGGCTCAGTAGTCTATCGGTTAAGTGCTCTGGCGCGAGACTAGTAGGTCCTGAGTTCGAATCTCGCTACGTGAGGTCGTTGGTGCGTACTGCTGTGGAGTCCCACAATAGGACGAAACGGCCATCTAGTACTTCCAGGTTTTCCCTGGTGGTCTAGCTTCAATTGACTCATGATTTCAACTATGAAAATACTAAATCTCCACCAAAAAACCTCTTCTGATAACATTAGATTGTTGTCAATCATGATCATGAATACATTGTAATGGAGATTATTTAGGTATTTCCTTTCTTTTTTTTCTGTTGTACCATTCTGTTTTTGTTTCCCTTTTAAGAATTTAGATCATGAAAAAAAAAACCAAAAATTAATATTATAAACAAAAATATTTGTAATTGTTGTTTGTTCATTTGTTTAAATGTATGTGTATGTGTGTATGTGTGTGTGTGTGGGTGGATGGATGGATGGATGGGTGCGAGCGAGCGAGCGAGCGAGCGAGCGATTATTTATGGTATGTTAACTATTTTAAAACAGAATTATTATTATTCAACTCGCTTGTTTTTTGGCAAGATTTTTAAAGGTCAACAAAAAGTTGACAAAAAAATTTTTTTTTGTTTATTTGTTGAAATGATTTATTAAACTATAAATCATATTTTATGAATGGTATGTAGGTGATAGTGGAATTCATAAAATGAATCTTTTTCTGTTTAGCATTCTTCAGTTGAATAAGAACTTAAAATCAACATCTTTCATTTCAAGTCTCAATACACTATTCATTGAGCTACTTAGTCCTGAGGTAGTGCCGTCCACTAATATCCATATAAGTAGTATATGACGATGGTTAGATATAGAATGTATTTCGGAAGAAGATTGATAAGGAAAGAATTGAAATGAAGTGCAATTGGTAGGAAAATGAAAGAACAATGGAATTAGAGAAGATGGATTGATATTTATAGAAAGAACAGTGATGATTGAGACAATTGATTGTTATTTGGCAAATTAACTGTTTGCTGTATGGTTAACAGAATTTAGTGAGATAATCTGTAATCTGTAATCTGAAATATATTCCATTGTACCCAGTCATGTTTTGTTCACTACACTGATAGCTAATAACTTGTTCAAAGGATACAATGTATTTATCATAATTAATCTTGAATACTATTTGTTGCTAGCTGCAGCAACAAAAAAATTACAATGACACGGTGATATCGAGGATATTCTCACCTCAAGAACACTGATCCAAATTCCATACTCAATATTAACAATGGGATAAATCAAACCATCACTTATGTTCATGTAAACTCTATACATCAACAAGTTAACAATTGTCTGAATTCAATAGTTCAATTAATGACGTATAAGGCATTTGGATCGAAAGTTACTCAATTCGAATCCTAATGTGAATATCAACACTAGGGTATGATGAATACATCAGACTAACCAATGGTCATCTTGTTGTGCTAACGAGGTATGGCAACTTGGACCGATGCATATATGTGCCTGGTCCTACGTTGTAGCTGAGTGACTGACTGAACCAATGATAAACATGATTATAAATGTACATCATGAATTCCTCTGCTAACTAATATCCATCTATTCTATATATAAAAATAACATTATCATTCTTCATTCGAATAGTTTAAATGTATAAAAAAGGCCTAAAACCATAACAATAATAATACTTACTTATCTTTTCTCAATTCAAAACAACGTATTACATAATTAGCTAATTCATTAGTTTCTAAATGTGTTACAATTAATTTATCAGAAAAGTGTAATGTTCCATTATTTGGCCAATATTGATCACATTTCATTTGTCCTAATTCAATAAGTTTAGTAAGCATTACAATAACACTTGTATTTTGTTCCCATATCATTGTCCAAAAATGGTCAAATGTATTTGGTAAAGGAGCCTAAAATATTTTAAAGATTGAATAAAACAAAACAAGAAAAATAGTGAAAATACCACAATGATTAACTGAAACAGTAAATCTTTATATATAGTTGAAATCAAGAGTCAATTGAAGCTAGATCACCATGGAAAACCTAGATGCGCACTGCTGAGGAGTCCCAAAATAAGATGAAACGACCGTCTAGTGCTTCCAGGTTTTCCATGATGGTCTAGCTTCAATTGGCTAATGATTTCAACTATATATATAAAAATTACTAAATATCACAACAAACAACCCCCTAAAACAATAAATCACCAAGACTATTGAATATACTTTCAATAAAATTTATGATATATATTTTAGCTTATTTTCTATTAGTCGTTTGAATATCCCTTTAGAATTGTTTGACTGATAATGAGTTCAAAATAAGATCAAACATATGACTATAAAATTCATTATTAACAATCATCAAAATCATAGTGAAAGAAGTTTATGGAGATTAATAAACCAGGAAGCATGGGTCAGTTGTTTCGTTTTACTACGGAACTGCCCATTAGTGTACATCTTGTGAAAATCTTTTATGTCTACTAGGGGATTCCAGCTAGCCTATGATATTTGCCAATTGAAGAACGATCAAGTTATTCTTATACAAATGGTTCTACTGTTGACTCAAAAAAGGAAGCTGGCATCCAAGATTTCAATAATTCGTCTCTAACACAGGAAGAAAATTTAATATTCAAACATAGATACTTGAAATCCTACAACTCAGTATGATATATTAACGAAAGTGACCTTGAAGGATGCAGAAGATCATCCAGTTAAAATTAGTGATAGACAATCAAATGAAAAAATCAAAGTTTATTCGAAACATTGAACTAAGAAAGAAAATACGTACAGTTAGGAGTACTACGAAGACTTTATTTTAAATCACGAAAGCTAAGTAATTTCATAATTGTCTTAGCACCCCGAGGTCTAACGGTGGACTGTTAGCCTTAAAGCTAATGTCTCGTCATCTTACAATTAACATCAGTAGACTCATGTTGGTGCGCAATAATCTTCAGATGCCATCAGTAGGCAACGGCCTCACACCCGACATAATTAAACTCTACAGATAATGATGTATCATCGGGACCAGAGGAATTACCTCTCTTTTCATAATAAATATATGGCTACCAGTTAATATAAACCATCCACTCAACAATCCATATACCAGTAAATAGTGATCATCAAATACGGTCTTGAAATTTAACCACAGGAATATAGAAAGCTTCACATGTAAAACTAGATAAAAACAGTCCCTTGAAACAGAAAAACGGTCATATTACTTGTAATAGAAGGTTTACGGAGATTAGTCAGTTTCATAGCTTTCATCGCTAAATGATCTTAGACAAGTATTGGAAGTCACTAAACACTAAACAGTTGTTTCGTCCTAGTATAGGACTTCTCAGTAGTAGTAGTAGTATGCATCTATGAACTATCATAGACCGAACCAAAAAAAACATTTAAATCACTTAGTAGGTATCCGATGGTTTACACTTCTAACATTTTTTTTATTGGGGAACTAATCATCTTTCAATGCCATTAGTAAGTAGTTGCTTCACACTGGATGTGTTTGAACTCTACTAATAATCATGAAGATATAACGAGTCTTTGACATTATTTGCTTATTAACTGATCTCGTTTTGTAAAAATAAATATCAATCTGTACCTTTTCAATTGTTAATGCAAAAGTTTCTGATATGATTAGAAGTGACTTAATTGATTGGAGTACGAGTAACACTTATGACATGCAATCATGTTTTAAGAAAGAGTTATTGTGGGACTTAGATGGTTACATATTCTTAATTGTATAATATGGTAGACATGTGTTCACACAGTAAGATTAAATACTAATCACTTCGGTTTATACATATCTAATCTAACTGTGAATAAAACATGTCAAACGTGATGTATTCCTATTCCTTGTATTATATGAAATGGATTAGGGATAATTAGAAGAAAACATAAGATCCAATTTTTTTTTTCCATTTAGTAATGATCAGTATCGAACACATTCAGTCTTGAAGTGTTGATCTAATTCAAATGATCAACTTTCGATGAGTCCACTAATCTAAGTGACTCAAATCACTGGAGAAGATATCTCTGCTCAACACTGTTATGTGATAACACATCACATTGTGAAACTACGTCAGATAAGTTCAAATCTCATGAGGAACATATCAAGGTTACAGGCATACCTTGTTAGTGAATGGTAACCAGCATAATGTCTAGATTGAGTAGGTTTTCATATCGACTGACTAACTCCAACCACTTGACATCAAAATATAGTACATGTGATGTAAAATCACTTGAACTAGGGATCATATTTCAACGTGATCAATTGAATTCGATTAACAATAATCGACCAGACATATATATACATAATTCATCAAGAAACTTGCTCCAAACATATAAACTTTCGACGATAATTTCTATCATTAACTGACATCTGTTGAATAACTATCAAGAATGATATACAAATATAGAGTACCCTAGACAATGTTTATTTATCTTAAGTTAATCCATGATTTAAACTATCATAATGCACTCGGTCACGGATAACTCGATGAAGTTTGAAGAGAAGGTACTGGGTTCGAGTCCCAGAGTGAACATCAACTGTAAGATGCAGGTACATCCAGCTGACGAGTCCCAAATAGGACGAAACTCGCGTCAAACTGGATTCCACTGCTAGCCACTAACCATCTCTGCTTATCATAATGCAGATTGAACAATCTTAATCAGTTTAAAATGTTGATTGGAGATAGTGTATAGGATATCCCACTTGATATTATAGGTTTCATGTTATTAAGGTATATCTATTACATTTTTTGTAATATTAAAAACATCTTCTTTTTCAAAAGTCGCCTATACTTAAATTTATCATAATATTTACTAAAACAAATTATTAAAACAATGAATGGAACCAAGTAAATAAACTATTCTGTCTACTGACCTAATTAATTAGCAAAATACGTGTGTGAAATACCTAATTTAACACACACATACACACACACACACAAAAATATGTCTGAACTAAATATCTGTGTATTTTATTAGTTGGTTAAAAGCATAACAACTAGGAATGGTGGTGGTAGGGAGGGGAAGAGAGTGAAGACGGGGGGGGGGAAATTAGTCAGTTTTACCAAAAACAAAATTTTTTTTTCATTATCAGAACAAACAAAAAGTTGAAAATGTAATTAGTTTATACTTTTTATTAGGATAGATGAATTCGGGTAGACAGTAAAATATCTGTAGTTTAAATTATGAATTGATTTTAGTTAGATCATCATTGATAAAACTTTATAATTTGAGTAATTAGGAAAGAAAGAATGAAGATCATCGTTTTATTTAAAACTGAATATTATACAGTGACTAGTGGAGTTCAAACCATGTCTGTTGTGAGATAGGAACTCACTGAAGACAATGGTGGATGTGTTGCTCAACTTCGTGGATTGGTTGAAGTTAGACATAAACACCATCGGATGCCGACCGGATCAGTGGTCAAGAGGTTAAGTGCTCTGGCCCGAGACTGGTAGGTCCTGGGTTTAAATCTTGCGAGGCGAGATCGTGGATGCGCACTGCCAAGGAGGAGTCCCACAATAGGACGAAACGATTGTCCATTGCTTCCAGGTTTTCCATGGTAGTTTAGCTTCAATTGACTGATACTTTCAACTATAAAGTGTTTTTATTCGATAACTTTATACCATTGATCCATAAGCTGAGGTCATCAAATCTTCATGTTACAATCTTCACAGTATATCTATTTTAATCCTTTGTCAAATACACTTCATTTAAGGTATAGTATATGTCCAGTCTTTGTTTTAATAATTTAAATCATATTTGAAAATCTCTAAAAATCTAGATATTCAGTTATTGTTTCTTGACCTGAATTAACTTTCTTTCTGGAATAAAGTGTATATAAACTTTTCTTAAATTCATCAACAATTTTAATGGTTGGATTCAGGAGTCGATGTAAGCTAGACTAACATAGAAAACCTGGAAGCACTGGACGGCCGTTTCATCCCAGTATGAGACTTCTCAGCCATGTGTATCCATGATCCCGCACGTCTTACTTTTAGGTCACTGGACCGGCATCCAACGGTGTTAATGCCTAACTTTCATCTATCCATTGGTTCATTAGTGACTGACTTTCAGATGATTATCTAGAGTTCTAGTGAGGAGCCATGATGTTATTCTCATTAATAATTATCTAGATAATGAATTGATATTACGTGATTTACATTTATAAAAGAACCTATCTTTAGTCCTAATTTGTAAGTTATATTTATAAACTAGACTTTCTTCAATGAAATGTCTTGTCTATTGAAAATCAGTTAAGATAAATTCCAAAAAAAAACATTTAATGAACTTGATCAGTGTGTTTTTGTTTTAAGTTTCCTTACAATCTTATGTAATAACTCTTTGACCAAACCATCCAGCTCAGAGAACAAAACTCCATCAAAATCATCCACCTGAGTTACAAATCTTCTCCATTATGTAATAACTCATTCCATGTACTTACTAGTTATCTCTAAACAATGAATGAGTAATGAATTGAAATTTCTTTTCCATAAACCTGTCCGAAATGTTTTCTTTCTACTTGAATAAATCCTCTTATCATGATCATTATTTAGTGTTGACTGATAATATATTTTAAAGGATACGATATTCACAATTAATTGATCACTGGGTGGTGATCAATGTCATGCGTGTCAAGTCCTTCTTAGTGCTGATTGAATGCTATCGATCAAGTTACAATGTGGCCTCTAGTCTAGGTGGCTCGACACTGCGTGCACTACGTTGAGATAAGATGTTTGATATTTGATATCAAATGAAATTGATATGCTTTGATTGATGACTAATGTAATAGTTATACTATATTACATGATTTCTCATGAGAATCAACATTGTCTTAGAAATTGAGAGACATTTTAAGTTTTCGTAGTTCAAATAAAAAATTGATTTATAGGTAAATTATCATT